AAATGCACCAGTGACAGAAGAAAATGCACCAGTGACAGAAGAAAGGTCAGAAGAGGCAGCAACAGAAGAAGCCATGAATGAACAGGAGAGAGAAACCCTAAAAATCCAAGATTCTCCAACCAAGGCACTTGAAAGAGGAAAAAGAGCGACCTTGACGTTCTGAATAGCTACCAGAGAGGAGATGGGACACGCTGCCATGCACAGCGATAAAGGGAGAAAATGCACAACTTAGAAAGGCACTAAGAGTATGTAGGAGCTCCAATGAAGGCATTGTTGACAACACAGTGGTTGCCTGACCAAGACGATCAAAGTCGTGTGGTCGTCAGTCGAAACTGGAACTCCGGTGACAACGGGTGTAGTGGGAGAGGCAACGAAAGTTTTTATATAAAAGAACCTAGCTTTGATATCATTTTGAATATAGTAACCTGACTCTAATACGATGTTTTATATAGTAGAAAAACTAGATGAGATTAATCATTTTTGTGTTGAATATACACATAGAGTACTCTATTTATAATAAAAGAGATATGAACTTAGCGCAAAATACAAATAAGGAATAATAATAAACTAATTAAAAATAAAAGATAAAGATAAGATAAAAATAAGATATCTAATAATATAATATATCTAATAGGGGTAAAGAGAGGAAGATAACAAAGAAATTTCTGTGTGGGGATCACATTTGAGGGTTAAGAGAGGTTGTTTCCCACCCTTATGGCCCAATTTTTTTAGTGTTTTCTCATAACCTCTGTTAGAAGTGGACTTTAAGCCTATCTCAAGCCCACAAAACCGACTTGTAGGGTGAGGTTGAGTTAGGCTTAAAGTCCACTTCTAACATGGTATCAGAGCCATGGTTAGAGCCTATCTTAGTGATATTTGTTCTTTGCTGGGCATATTGTTCTACCCGCTATCGGGCCGCTATCGGACCACTCATTAAAAATGTCTATCCCACGCTCAAGATGTATATACCTCGACGTGAGGGGGGTGTGTTGGAAGTCTCACATCGACTAGTGATAAGGCCATTTCATAGTTTATAAGTGGCTGCAAACCTCATCCTAGAAGCCGGTTTTGTGGGGTTGAGTTAGGTTTAAAGTCCACTTCTAACAACCTCTTTGTGCATGACCAAACTAGTTACATATGTGAATCCAGCCACAAGTGAGTTGTGTGATTTGGAATTCAAATGGCAACTTCCAGCACTCAAAACCATTCCCCTTCCAATCCAAGATAAAAATACTATTGGTCCTTTGGACCTGTTAAATTGAAATAATAACAAAGGTTTCCTTTCCCTGTCCTCAGAAATTATTATCTTTGATCTTCCATGAGGCATTATGGATATTTCTATCTCATGTATGTCTTAACTTGTATATTTGTACTTCTATCAAAAGTTTCCTGGTTCAGGTTTACTGCTTCTGCAATTCAGTGAACTATTTATTTCGATGATATTTCCTTCACCATTATATTGTATTGAAGCAGATCAAGCTTGATGCATTGAAAGAAAGAGCTGGGCGAGAGATCCGTGTTTTTGAAACATATGTTTCCTCATCATCAAATTCTGCATTATCCAATGGTAATTGCACCCTATCTTATTGACAATCCCAAGGCAACAGAAATGCTTTCCTGGAAATTTTTATTTATTGATATTGGCTTTTTCTCAAATATCCTGATTAAACTTTTGTTTATGGTTTCTAGAAGAGGTGACTGATGACTTCTATGAGTTTACTGCTGAAGATTATCACAGACTTTTGGCAGCTAAAAAGGAAGGTAATGATGGTAATACCATTCCACAAGAAAAGTAAAATTTTATTAACCATTTATTTTAAACTATTTTTATGCCCTGTCTCCATTGATGTACACTTTATATATTTACTCTCTATGGATCTATTTTGTTAATGACACTGAAAATAAAAAGAGGGGATCAGCTGGGATGGGAAGAATTGGCATGGGACAAAGCTACCATTGTGCTAACCGTACAACATTCCATTATCCTTGTGTTTCCCCTCATTCCACCCCAATTAGTGGGAAGTGATATTTTTATCTTCAAGGGGAAACGACGAAAAATGATTCCCCCTTCTGTTCCATTTCCATCCTATGTAATTTATACTCTCAAACAGGGGAACTTTTATCCTCTTCCCCTCATTTCATTTCCATTTTGATCATTACCTGACAAATTTAATGTTTACTTCTAAAAAATTGATAATCTAATGACGTCGAGAAAGCAAAAGTTGAAATATGAGGACAAACTTTTTGGTTCGATGTCCCTTGTGTCTTGTTTATATGTTTTTCTTTCTTTTTAATTTACTTTGACGTGCTGCAAATGATTAGTGGACTTTAAGG